ATCACAGTGTAAAGGCCTCGAAGATGGATGCTCCAACTCGGAGGTGAGAGGAGAGAATTAAGAGTCAAGCCCGTGGATCTTCTTCTCTGAAATAGAATCAATGTATCGCTCGAGCTCATCATCTTCTTCTTCGGCCTCACACATTTGCTTCATTGTACGGGCTTGAGTACCAAGCATGAGGTGGGGGTCGTCGACTTGTGCCTCGATTGAGTCGGTATGTGCTGTAAGGATCTCTATCTGCGTGCTCAGTCGAGCACATCCGAGCTCAATCTCCACATCTCGAGTGGTCAAGGAAGATATGCGAGCAAGAATGAGGTCGAGTTTTTCATCACATGTCAAAGCGGCCTCCCGAGGCTCATCCATATGTGTAGATTCACCATGAGCGTTGGGCTCGGGAGAGAAATTGGTAGCTCGATCCTCTAGGGCTTGCACACGCTCCACAAGTTCCTCGATTCGGGACTCAAGGTTGCTCTTACGGGCCGCTTGGGATGCCAAAAGAGTGAGGACCTGGTCGAGCTTGGCATTATACTCTGAGGAATCCTCGAGGGACTCACATGGTTTCTCAACAGGTATTGAATCCCATTGCTGCTCGTAAGGATATGACCAAGTCTGGCCATAGTCCCAGGAATCGTAGAATGGAGGTGGCTGGTTCAATTGGGCACACCAGGTTGTTGTCTCTTCTTCTTGAGCTAACCGGGATATTGCAAAATCATAGATACGGTCAAGCTTCTCGTTGAACGCATGGGACTCATAATATTGCTCGACCGGGAGAGGGTCCCAGTACTGCTCGGAAGAGTAGGGATAAGACTGGACGTGGTACCCGGTGTGGTAGCTTGGTTCGTGGACCCAAGATTGGGTGTGCGAATAGGGAAGCACACGGTTGTAGCTCATACTACCTGCACACCAAAGCAGAACAACCACGCGTAGCCACGAAAAGACAAGAAAAAGAAAACAGAAACAAGAAAGACAAAAAGAAAAACAAATATGCACAAAAGAGAGAACAAAAATAAGAAAATCAACAAAATAAGAGAAACACGGAAAATAAAATCAATACCAAGGCCAAATATCCTACTTGCCTTCCCCGGCAACGGCGCCAAATTTGTTGTAGCACAAATTATTCTTTTTACCGAGTACCGAATCAAAATATTCGTTCCCCGGGTCGATCTCACGAGGAAGGCTGTTCGGAATTCAGCTTTGGTATTGACAACACATAAAAGCCAAATAAATCCTAAACATTCTAATAAAATAGGGGTTGAATGAATTATCAGCTAAGAAATAAAATAAAAACAATAATCTTCCTAATAAGATAAACGAAACAATGAAAAAGAAGCTAGGGAGTCGGGGATAATTAATTCAAGT